CTCCCAGGTCCCAAAGTCTACCAGTGTCCCCATATCTCTCAGTGTCCACTAGTGTTTGTATCCCCATTCCTCCCAGTGCCCCTTAAAGTCTGTGTCCCCATGTCTCCCAGTGTCCCCATGTCACTAGGACACTAGGGGACACTTAGAGACATTGGGACACTGTGAGACATGGGGACACTAACACTGGGGGAAACTGTGAGAGATGAGGACAGTGAGACTTGGGGACACTGTGAGACATAGGGACACTTGGTGACACTGAGACACTAGGGGGCACTTGAGACCTGGGGACACAGAGACTAGGGGCCACTGGGAGACATGGGGTCACTGTTCATATAGAAACAGGCACACATTCATATAGAAACATAGGATGTGACGTCAGATAAGAACCATTTGGGCCATCTAGTCTGAAAATTGGGCAGACTAGATGGGCCGAATGGTTCTTATCTGCCATCACATTCTATGTTTCTATATGAATGTATGCCTGTTTATGAGTCTATGTATATATGAACGAGTGTGTGTGCTTTATGTCTCCGTGGCTGTGTATTAGTCTGTCTGTATGTATATCAATGTGTGTGTCTGTCTATATGAACACAGGTGTGTGTCAATTTGAATATATGTTTGCATAGGAATCCAACGATAAACATCAGCGCTGGGATTAGGTAAGTAAATAAAGGGTTTTTAACCTTTTATTCACCATAGAAGTATACAGGAGGGGGTGTATTCCTGGCATTATAGTATCACTTTAATTCTTTCCTTCTAGGCCTCTTCTCAAACATTATATTACAGTTTTTGTTTGCCTAATTAAATTGTCTGTGCTAGCACACCTGCTACTCCTCCACAGCAAGGTCCTGGAAGGTAAGTAAAACTAGTTTTACACTTTCATTATAGTTAGTGCATTCACTAAGCTTAGGCACATGGGACATTTAGGGTTAAGTGAGGGTTCAAATTAGGGTTAGGTTAGTGCTTCTAACCTCTCTCACACTCTATTCTTACCCTAACCCTTGGGGTAAGGGTTAAAATAAAGTGTGATAAAGCACTATCTAGTGATATTCCCCTAATGTGAAATATCACTAAATATGAACAAGTCCCTAATCCTAACCCTAATTTGAACCCTAACATTAATCCTAAATGTCCCATGTCCTAAGCTTAGTGAATGCACTAGCTATAATGAAAGTGTAAAACTAGGTTTACTTACCTTCCAGGACCTTGCTGTGGAGGAGTAGCAGGAGTGCTAGCACGCATGTGCAGCACAGGATCCAGCTGATTCCCCTCCCCGGAAGTGACGGGGGTATAGAAATTTGACGGGGTATAGCACAATGATAGAACACCGTCCCCACTCATGCTGCAGCCGCCCGAGCGCTCTGCAGAGAGCCTCATGCGGCTGCAGCAGCTCTGCCCTGGCTGGTGCGTCCATGAGGGCGCACCGCCCGGGCGCAGCATGAGGAGAGGGTCTGACAGGAGGGAAGCGCTCAGTGCTCCCTCCTTTCACTCCCTCACTGTAGCGTGGCCGAGCCCTCTATGGTCCACAGGTACAGGGAGCATCTGTCTCCTGTACACGGCCGGACTAACAGGAAGCGCACACTGAGTGTGCACTTCCTGTTAGTCCGGCCGGGTACAGGAAACGAAAGCTCCCTGTACCCGCGGACCATAGAGTGCTCGGCCACGCTACAACAGTGGTGGGGGGATAAAGAAATTGGGAGGGGGGGGAGAGAAAGAAAGAAATTGGGAGGGGGGGGAGAAGGAAATTGACATCCATCACACAAACACAATCACACACAATGCACCCCTTGCACACAGAAAAACACAATGCATTACACACACAGACACACATACACAAGCAATGCATCCCTTACACACACAGACACACACAATGCATTCATTACACACACTCAATGCACCCCTTACACACACTCAATGCATCCCGTACATACACAGAAACACACCTTTCAGCCCTTACACATACAAACACAGATTCACACAATGCATTCCTTACACACATATCAGGACATCCCCTACACACTCCACCCCCTGTGAACAAACTCATTGGTGGAATATGAAGGTGGACCCTGGGACCCAGGCCTTGAGCTGTGTAAAGGGCCCCCAAAAAATGGAGCTGCTTCCCGTTCTCCCTTACACACATATCAGGACATCTCCTACACACTCCACCCACTGTGAACAAACTCATTGGTGGAACATGAAGGTGGACCCTGGGACCCAGACCTTGAGCTGTGTAAAGGGCCCCCAAAAAAATGGAGCTGCTTCCCGTTCTCCCAGAACATTGATATTTGTGACCACAGTTACAAACCGCTTCCAGAGAGCCTGTTCTACACCAGACCAGTGGAGCCAGACTGCAGCCAGAGCCCATCACCATCCTCATCTGGTTGTAAGTAGGCAATCTAGTATATTATTCATGGCAGTAATCTCTAATTTACCTCACATTAAAGAAACACTATAGTCCCCAGAACCACTGCAGCTTAATGTAGTGGTTCTGGTGTCTATAGGCTGTCCCTGCAGGCCTTTTAATTTAAACACGGCGGCACTGCAGCACTGGCATTAGTTAACATGGCAGATCATATGGGTGAGGCATTGTGATGTCACACGGGGGGGGTGGAGGGCGGCAAACTTTACTTTTGTCTAGGGCAGCAAAAATCCTTGCACCAGCCCTGCTAGTGCCCTTAGTGTAGTGCAAACCACCTAATGATTTGCTTGCCTACGATTTTTTTTATGACAATTCCATGGTGTCCCCACAAGTGGGACACCAGGAAAAACACTTGGGACAGGAAAATTGAGACTGTCCTGCCGAAATAGGGACGATTGGGAGGCCAGAAAACCTTCACAAAAAATGCATACAATCTTTTGATTTGATACCAAATAGACATATTAATATAATTTCCTTGCTCACCAGGACTCACAGTTTTAACTAGTCTTTGTTTGAGCCAGCTTTGCTGTGTTGACTGGGTGAGCACCACTGCGTTTTCAAAGAATCAGCTGACTCCTTAGAGAAAGAAGAACCAGGGGAGGAGGAAGGAAACTGTAGAGATTTTGTGCAATAGCCGTTATTTACAATTTATCTAGTCCCATTGAATTGCAGCAAAAGAAGGAAAACGTTTTATGAAACTGAGAGGCATAGTATCAAAGTCAGTAAAATGTTGTTACCACACACTTTGGTTGTTCTAAAATGGGGGACAGGTGTCCAAACTCTATAAGGGCATATACATTTTCATAGCAAAAGTAGAAATGTATTTAGAAGATCAGCTGAGCATTAGTAAGCAAATAATATTTAGCTCCTTTAGTTTCCATTCATGCTTGGTAAACACAACTGGGGTTATTCATTCAGTGCACATTTTAGGACAAGATATCCAAGCCTGCATAATATCTCAATTTTAAATATTTTCCAATTTTGCTTGTTTAGTCTACTTTTTACAATTTACTTTATTTAAATTATCTGCAAGTGAACAACTCAGAACACTTAATGCATATGTATAGGGTATGTAAAATAAACTATATATATATATATATATATATATATAGTCTGTCCAGAAAGTATCCAGTCATGTAATATGAAAAATAGAGACATTTAAGATACAAGATACATTGTACATAGGACAATGACACTTCAGTCCCCTTCATAGTAGGCACCTTGGTACCTCACACAGTTCTCCCAGAGTCTCTTCCACTGTACAAAACACTCTGCAAAATCCTTTGTTAGAATCGCCATCAGCTGCCTCGTTGTATTTACCTGAATCTTATCACCGGTCTGAAATCTTTTCCCTTTCAAAGCTGATTTTAGTTTTGGGAAAAGCCAAAAGTCGCTGCTGACTCATCAAAATAGTAATGAGGAGGAGGAATGTTCAAGCTTAACACAATATTTGATGCAGATTCGTTGCTTTAATTTCTCAGTCATTTTGAATGCAACGGCCACACAGTACACATACTCAACAGCGTCTAGCGCTCCTACTCACTAGTACAGTAAAGTCGTCATTGTTCACGCATGCAGAAACCATTCTTTTTATATTAACAATGGCTGGATACTTTCTTTACAGATCTCATATATATATCCCAACAGTCCTGCTTTTCATGGGGCAGTCGTAATTTTGGAGTTCTGTCATTCTCTAGTAACCTGGTGTGATGGACCCTCCGTCAATCGATGCTCCTAGTGCTTACCAACGACCATCAGCACCACACTAGACACCATAAGCACTGCAGACCCCACGAACTGCCGCAGCTTGGTTGGGGTCTCACCGTCTCCTACCCACCCTGGATCCAGTGGGTGAACCTCTCTTCCTTCAGAGAGCGAAGCAAGAACAGCTCTTACAAGAGCTACTGATTAGAACCCAGGGGAGTATACAGACAGTGGTGTATCCTGGTTTTGTGCTGCCCTAGGCAGGACAAAACTCGGGCACCCCTGTACCCCCGCGCCACCCCCACCCAACCCTTCCCCCCCGCCCCACCTTCTAAATACACACACACACACAGTCAGACACACACACACAGTCAGACACAAACACACACACACACAGTCAGACACAAACACACACAGACACACACACAGTCAGACACAAACACACACACACAGTCAGACACAAACACACACACACAGTCAGACACACACACAGTCAGACACAAACACACACACAGTCAGACACACACAGTCAGACACAAACACACACACATTAACACCTTTTTTTTTTTTTTTTATTTAACCCCCCACTTACCTTTGGGAATGCTGGGGGGGGTCCTCTTTCTCCCTGGTGGTCCAGTGGCTGCCGGTCGGGCTGATGGGCTGGCTACTGGGCGGGCGGCGGGCGGCTGGCGAGAGAGCACTTTCCCCTGAGCTGTCTGCTCAGCTACCTCGCGCGCCGCAGAGTGAGGCTGGGAGCCGGGTTGATGACGTCATCAACCCGGCTCCCAGCCTCACTCTGCGGCGCGCGAGGGAGCTGAGCAGACCGCTCAGAGGAAGAGAAAGTGCTCTCTCGCCAGCCGACCGCCCAGTAGTCAGCCCATCAGCCAGAGCCGCCCGCCAGCCCAGCATGTCTGTTAGCCGCGAGGCTAACTAGGCATTTGCCCTGGGCATTTGGGGGGCGGCGTTTTTTGCCGCCCCCCGAAAAATGCCGCCCAAGGCAAATGCCTTGTTTGCCTCGCGGCTAATACGTCCCTGTATACAGAGCAATCCCCAGTGTGATTATAGCAGTTCCCTATAGCACGAGACGAGGCTGTGAGTTGAGGGTAAGAAGGTCTGACAGTTTAATGACACACACTAGTGTTTTATAGCAAAGGTGACGCCCAGGTGGACCTAGTTGGGCACTGAATACATACCAGTAAAAACAGAAGTTTACATTCATACACTGCCGTACAGTGTACACAATCCCTCCCATCTGCCTGTGATACAATTAACAAAGACAATGGGTTAACTCAATTAACTCTAAGCAGAAAAACATACATGTTTACAAAGTCTGTAAAACACCCCAAAACACCACATATCCCCAACCATCTTACAGCGCAAAAAAAAAAATCACCCAGTTCAGAGCAGGGGTTCAAAAATTTTATGGAAGTCAACAGTACCATAGATTCACGGCTAAGTGCCGCTCGAGGACCGACAGGGAACCACAAGGTATTCATGCCGAAAATAGTTCCAGGACATTTATGGCTAAGTCCCCCTGAAGTCTATCCCCCTGAAGTCTATCGGTGTTTTTAGCCCATGCGAACAAGATGGACTGAGGTACTGACCGACAGAAGGTCAAGTACCTGGTTAGTCTCCCCTGGAAAGGGAAGATGTGTGATGAAAGCAACTTTGCCACTGGTCTTTGGAGAGGAGTAATGCTCTGTGACTATGGCCCCTTTAATTTATTTTGGCTGAGAGACCTTAATTGTGCCTATTGGGACATGTTCGAATGTCGGCATCTTAGACTGTTCGGGAGTTCGAAAAACCAAATGTTTAAAGTCCCAATAGGCACAATTAAGGTCTCTCAGCCAAAATAAATTAAAGGGGCCATAGTCACAGAGCATTACTCCTCTCCAAAGACCAGTGGCAAAGTTGCTTTCATCACACATCTTCCCTTTCCAGGGGAGACTAACCAGGTACTTGACCTTCTGTCGGTCAGTACCTCAGTTAGTCGAGTAGCCCACCCACAACAAGCAATTACTGGACCTGGTGACTGTGGTCATGATCCCCAGTGTAATTATGGCAGTTCCCTACACACGAGACAAGGCTGCGAGTTGAGGGTAAGATGGTCTGACAGTTTAATGGCACACACTGTTTTTTTATACAAGTTTTACAGCAAAGGAGCCCAGGTGGACCTAGTTGGGCACCGAATATAAAACATAAAAACTAGTAAAAACAGAGGTTTACATTCATATACTCCCATACAGTGTACACAATCCCTCCCCTCTGCATGTGAAACAATCAACGAAGACAATGGGCTAACTCAATTAACTCTAAGCAAAAAAACATAAATTTTTACAAAGTCTGGAAAACACCCCAAAACACCACATATCCCCACAAATCTTACAGCCCTGATCTGGGTGAACAACATATCCAAAAATCAACCAGATCAGAGTAGGGGTTCAAAAATTTAATTTATTTTTCAATAAATTGAATATGTGGTTCGATTTGGGGCACCAGTTTTAAAGAAGGGATTTAGGGGCTAGAGAAAGTGGCTAAAACATTAATAAGGAGAAAGGAAGAGTAGGTATGAAGAAAGAATAAAAAAAATTGCATTGGGCTCCATACTAAGCAGACATGTATGGAAGGAGCTCCTTGGTTATCAGCGATTAATCTGACTTTTAAGCAACTTACTGTGCCCCATATCAGTCTCTAGAGCGGCCTCACCTGCTTGTGAACACACCGGTGCTTGATTCTAGCTAGGTTGATTCCAGCAACCCAGAGTCCCAGGTGTTTGATGATTGAGGGGTAAGGGCCTGGTAAGCCCTGAAGGCGTGATATATGGCCGTTCCCCTGCCTCACGGTGGCTTGATTACTAGAAGCATCAGCGGACATCCTCCCCGTTCCCTTCCCCCCTGTCCCCTTTGGATCGGCGGGTTTATCCCGGTCTGTAGTGGACAGGCCTCGGTTACTCCTAAAACCTAGCTGACAGCCCCATCACATGTCAAAGCGATTATACTCACCTAAGATGGCGGCTTTTCAAGAGTTTAAGCAACATGCAGTACAGCAGAAATTTCACTGGAGAGCAACCTTTCTTGAGGCAATCGAAGCTGTAAGTCTGACTCTCCAGCAAACCCTTGATTTATGATAATGCAGACACTAAAAACTTGGATATCAGGGGGCTGTCTAGGGAAACCAGATTTATAGCCTCTTGGGCCTGGGTTTAGATCCACCTCCCCTGAGGTTCACTATAAAAACTCTGTGACAGAACCATCTGTCTGTTTATTGCAGGTGGATTCGTCTGTTTCTGCCCGTTCATGTAAATGGCTGTTTCCTATAGCCCAGCCATACGAATGACTGTTTTTCCCGAACAAAACTACTGAACGGATGGCCACCCAGGAGAGACGTGTGCTGCTGGTTAACCTATTGATCCCAATTAGAACGTTGTGGTTAACCGCAGACACTTCTCAATTAAACCGAATTCAGGGTGGTCGTCGTTCGTATGTCGACCACGAGGCAGCGGCCATTTTAAAACAGACGAAAGCCCAGCGGTGTTCGGCTCTATTTTCATGGAATTAAAAACAAACACTTTTTCTGCCAAACACCGCTGAAACGACGGAACGCCTGGCTGCCTCCACGAAAGCATACGAACATCGGCCGTTCGGGAGTTTTGAAGCACACGAAAGGACTTAACCCAGATAGCCTTCCCATGGAGTCAATCGCATACCGAAAGACTGTAAGAACTTTGACTCCATGGCGATTGAACTATGTGTGTGGGATCTGAGTGCTATTCGCTAATAATATGCATTCAGATCCAGGCTATCTGGGGATATGTGATGCGAATGGGAAATGTTCGGTTATTTTAAAGTTATGTATTTTTATGCATTTTCTGGTTTTATATTTATGATGGCGACTGTCTTTGTCCTGGAGATAATTGAATTACTTCTTAATTATCTCCAGGGCAGAGGGGAGTAAACCATAGTGCATTGTGGGTAAAAGCTGTGACTGTATGTCTGAAATGTCCCCATGTCTATCTGTCATTACAGATCTCCCATTTGGTCCCCTAGGGGAGTGTCCCCCAAGTGGGAGACCTGCATAAATACGGGCAGGTAGCCCACAGTAAAGCCAGATCCTGTTTGACCCTCAATGCGGAGCTTCTGTCTCGTTATTGGGGGGATTTCTTCTTTGCGCTTAGAGACTGCTGATTGGAACCGAAAGCCGCTTGGTGGATATTGTTGTTCGGCGGCTAGCAGCAGTTCGTGGATTCCCGTTCGGGAGTTTGGAGCCATTCACGGATCCCGGTCGGGAGTTTGCCGCTTCCCCTGAGGTTGGTTCGTACACTGCAGTTTATGCGAACGGACATTATTGGTATTGCAGAAGGGGAAGGCTAACTAAACGGCGGTTTCGTTTCAAGACACCAGGGGTGTCTTAACAAACTCTTTGAGCGCACTGTCCACCATTCAGCAGAGGATGGGGTTTGTGGCCTACTGATCTTGGCTCTCAATCAGACCTTGGGCAGGAGCTCTGACGCTATGGAGCAGCACTTGGGCCCTAGGACTGGTCTACGGCTGACATCTTGTAGACAGAGGCGCTATCAGAGGCCCATTCTGAAAGTGGGAATAGGATGATTCTGGAGGCTTATAACACCCGAACACAGAATCTCAAGTGAAATGTCATAGCTACGTGCTTGCTACCACTTATGTTTTACTAGATTTTAGTATGTTTATTATTTTTTGTTAACAGTTGACTACCCATCTTCAGGGCCGGACTGGGAAAAAAATTTTTTTATCACAGCAGCCCACTAAGAAGGGGGCGGGGCAGAGAGGGTGTGTTTTGTCATCACTCATGACAAACACGCCCCCTCTCAAAGTGAGCATGTTGGTTCAATGCTCTTCCAGGGCAGACCATGCACAGAGCTCTGCTGAAGAGCTCTAGCATGAGAAAAAAGCCCTGTATTTGTTCTGCACAGTGCAAGCAAATTTAATAACATGCTTGCACTGTGTTTCCTTGCAACTTGTCTCTGGTGTCTCTATAAATGGATACCAGGGCCAGGAAAGAGTATTGTGCATGTGTTTGGAGCCTGCTTGGGGTATTGCGTGTGTGCAGAGTGAGCTGGTCGTGGTGTGGTATTGTGTAATAAGGTCGGTTTTAGTCGTGTTGTGTTTGTGGTGTAATGTAATGCATATGTGGCTAGGGGCTGTAGAGAATGTGTGTATAGGGGATATAGCAAGTGTGTGCATATAGGCTATAGTGTGTGTGTGTGTGTGTATAGGTGATGTAGTGTTTGTAGAGAGTGTGTGTTCAGGGAATGTAGTATGTGTTTGCTTACAAGGAATCTAGTGTGCATATAGGGGATCCAGAGTGTGTGTGTGTGTGTGTATATATATATATATATATATATATATATATATATATGAGTCTTATGTGTGTTTGAAGGACCCAGACTATGTATAGGAGATCTAGTGAGCGTGCGTATATAACGGATTCAGAGTGTATCTAGTGATCTAGTGTGTGTATGTGTGTATATGATCCAGAGTTGGCTAAAGGATCTAGTGTGTGTCTGGAATGTAATGTGTTTAGGGGTGCAGTGTGTGTGTGAGGGGTGCTGTGTGTGTGAGGGGTGCTGTGTGTATGTGTGTGTGTATATATATATATATATATATATATATATATATATATATATATATATAGTTTATATAAATATGTTTGGAAGTATTGTGTATGTGTGTGATGCAGTGTATCGGGGGGCTGTGTGTGTATGTGCGGGGTGCAGTATGTGTGTGTGATGGATGCTGTGTGTGAGGTGTGATGTGTGTGCTGTGTGTGTGAGGGTGCTGTATGTGATTGATTTGTGTGAGGGTGCTGTGAGTGTGGGTGCTGTGTATGATGTGTGTGAGAGTGTTGTGTGTGATGTGTGTGAGTGTTGAGTGTGATAGTGCTGTGTATGATGTGTGTGAGTGCTGAGTGTGATGTGTGTGAGAGTGCTGAGTGCTGTGTGTGTGAGTGTTGTGTGTTAGAGTGCTGGGTGTGAGAGTGCTGGGTGTGAGAGTGCTGTGTATGATGTGTGTGAAGTGTGTGAGAGTGTTGTGTATAAATGTTGTGTGTTGGGGGTAAATAAATAAAAAATTAAGTGGGGGTAAATATACAAAAAAAAACTAAGGGGGGAAATAAACAATAAAAAATAAATAAATAAACAATAAAAAAAAAACTAAGCAAAAAAAAAACAACTAAATCCCCCCCTCCCTTCTTACCTTTAGCCTGGGGGGGCAGGCCCGTGGTAGCTGGTTGGGGGGGGGGGCACAGGCACTCGTACACGATCCCTGGCAGTCCAGTGGTGAGTGAACACTCTCGCGAGATCGGGGTGTTGCCCTGGCAACGCTCCCGATCTCGCGAGAGGAACCCGGCGGAGCTGCAAGATAGAGCTCCGCCGGGTCCTCTCCCTCCCTCCCCAGCCACAGGTCTATTTAAATGGGCCGGTGAGGGCCTGCCCATCTTAATAAGTGAACGGAGTGGGGCTAGGTCATACTCTTAGGGGGCTGTCCGGTATAAACCAGCAAGACCCAAGCTATAGGGTTTTCTTTTCTTATTAATGCTTAGTATAATGTTTTGCTACCTACTCTCAATCAGCTACTATATAGCCTGTTGTTTCATAGTGTCTAGCATGTCTTTTTTATTTTCTACTAATAGTTACTCATATTATCGGGGGCCATTTCACCATAGCGGTTTAAAGATAGTCATCTCTAGAGTAAGAGACATAACCCATTACGCCGTGTATATACCTTTAAAAATAAATGCAGGTTGGGGCGGGGCCTGACCACAGGACTGAGAGGATGCAAGTCTCAGCAGCTCCTGCTACTCAAAGCGGAAAAATACTAATAAAGCTACAGAAACTACACTAAAAAGCTAAACAAAGGCCACCAAGTGAAAGGGAAAACTGGGACAAACTCAAAGATACCAAATAAGTGACATTTAACCCGGTCCTTACCAGCCACATGGATGGGGCCTAACAGCATGGCAGGCGCGGGAGAGACGGCCTCTTTCTCACTTTGAAACACGGCCGAAAATCTGACCCAGAGCCTTCGCTCCCCCCCCTATGGACCGGCGGAGGATATCCCGGTCCACCCCAACTCAACCCCCCAGCCAAGCTACACTAGAGTGATACGGCTCAGCAGCCTGGAGGCTGCTAACAAGGCCTACAACATGGCGGAAGGCTCACTCACTGCAGCCCAGAGCAACATCAGGAGGGAAACTGAGCGCCGCTATAACCGCATCTTCAGCGCACTCTGGGAACGGCTAGAGGCCCTCATGCAGACCACCTATTCGTGGACCACAGCAGGAGGCATGTTCCAAGGTCCGACAAGTGCAGTTGCAGGGAGTAACATGGCTTGCCCCACACACCTCACTCGCGCGACGGGCAAACACCGGCGCAGACGCTGCCAGCACAGAGTAGCCAAGAACCCAGAGACTCCCATGCCACACCGCCAAAGGCTGGCCCACCATGGCGCGATGGCCCTGCAAAAACCCAAAAGCGGCATTACCCACCTGAGAAGACGACTAAGCACAAGGCCCACAATGGCGGCAACACCAACGCAACAGCGACCAGAGCCGCAGCCACTCAGCAAGGGGACGTTACACCCCCCCACTCCCAAGCGACTGAACAGGCGACCTTGCAACGGCCAGGACACACCGAACCCCCCTGGAGCAGGGCTGGATGCGGCACAAAGAGGTGACACAGGTCGGAGACAGACAAAAGCAATGGGAACTGAAACTCACAGTGGCCCGGTCCATCCTACATACCCCATGGCTCACCTGGACAGAGACTGTTTAAAATGGCCCATTAAAGGCATCGGCTGACTCTCTAACCCTTCATGACTGTCGCTCCCTATCTGTTGCCGGAACAAAGACATCTGTCAACCACCCATACCACTCTTAAGGACGCTCTCCAGATCCGCAGCCCAGAGAAATCGGTTGTGCCGGGCAGGGGGACTTGCTGTGCCTCACAACTGAGATCCAAGCCAAAGCTTGCATATATTTTACTATTTTACTATTGTTTTCTTGTCTTTATTATTTAGGTAGCTGCCTAGACAATGTTATCTCTGTCTCCCATGCCCACACGGCCCTCCACCAGGTTATTGCAGCCACAACGAGAGGCCAGCTTCCGTGGGTAACCTAATAAGCTACCTACCATATTAACTCACCAGCCCAATGCCCACCTACTGACAGAGATAGCCTAAGCATGTTGATAGCTGACTAATACAGTCTAGACCACGCAGCAACGTGAGGTATGACCTTTTTTTTTTTTTTTTAACACGGTCCTACCCAGTGGACTCGGCTATTTAGAAAAATGTTCCCCCCACTCTTCTACCACAAGATTAATCTGTCAATGTCCCTCACTGTATGAAGGCTACTTTTCGTAAGTTTTGTTTGCTGGGGACCTACTTAAGATTCGATTTCCTGATATAAATAGCCACACAACTGTTTGTTAAGGCATACATAATAAGAATGGTCAGTCAGTTATTACACTCACCGTATTCTAAATCTGTTTCATATGTACAACCATTGTTTAATCTTGCAAGCTACACTCATACAGTGAGCAGGAATAGTCTGGTCTTTTTATTAATTGATGTGTTGTCACACCACTGGCTATCATCTTGTTTCCTTTGTTAACCCTCATACAAAAATGTGCATCGATTTCATAAGCCACAACTGTTATACTTTGTCAATTTCAATGCATGTCACTGCTGTTGGGGCATGACATGAATGCTTGTTAAATTAACTCATGCACGAAAAAATAAAGAATAAAAAAAAAAAATCAAATAAATAAATAAATGCAGGTTATTCGACTGTCACACATTTGTTTTGCTTGTACACAACTGTGCTTATTGTTGCTGTTTTTTTGTTGTTTTTTTTGCAGTGCATATGAAGGTAACATACAGGCATGTGGTACCCCAAAGGCAGTCCGCATGCATATTTCAGAACAGTGATAACATATCAATAAGAACAGTGGGGTATGTTGTAACAGTGCACTAATTTTATATTTATATTATTATATTTAAGTACAGGAGTGTCGAATTTAAAGCATATTAGTTTGATTTACAAATCATGAGTAAAACAAGCTAAACTGGCATGTCCACATCAACATTAGCAGGGTAAAAATAATTAAACTTAGAGAGATAGTGAGATGCACATTTGCTATATCATGTATTTGTGGTGGAGGCATGCTGATATGATATTTTACCACCGAGAGGCCACCGTTTGTGTTTAGACTTTAGCATAATGGTAGGAGGTGAGAGAGACATTAGACAACCTTAGAAAATCAGTAGGAAAGCTGGGAGTAAAACCTGGGCTCAGAGTTCCATGGTCATCCAATGCCCTTAGCCAGCAGGCCAGGCTAAAACAGGTGGTCTGTGTCTTCTGAACCGTCGTACGCTGTGTATCTCGTTACTATAAGCCAGTTTACTGCTATGCGCTCTACTCACTACAGCCAGACTGCGTCTTCTTGATGCTGGAGGGTGCTGGGCTGCCTGAGTGTGTGGGCCGTGTGCAGGTAGGCGAGGTCTGGTAGCATGTCTCCATGTTGGGGTTCTGCAGGGACGCTTTACCCCAGGCATATGCTGTGGAGGGTGCTTGCTCTTCTTGGCTCTCTGCCTCATGAAGGTGCAGGGGGTCGGTTCCACGCTTGGAGCCTCCGTGGGCTTGGTTGATGTGAGTGTGAATTGCTGCTGGAGTGTCAAAAACCGCCTGGAACTTTTGCTCCCAGTGGGGCATGTGGTCAGTCGGTGCGGTGGCCATCTTGGGCACACTACTCACCACTTGTCGGTAAGGTGAGTGTAAGCTGCTATGTTTGGAAGGTGTAGCAGTGTTCCCTGGTAGGGACCGGGATTTGGGGAGAAGATCAAATCTGTCGGTCTGTTTGGCAATCTCGACTGGCAGGTCCGTCTGTAGGCTGCAATGTCCGGGTTTGGGCAATCCGGTGAGTGTCGTCAGTAGCTTGTCATTAGCTGGTTCGCCAGGATGCCTTTGATCGCGCTTTTATTTTTGCACGGTTTGATCTGCAGATTGGTGGCCTTTTAGTGCCTCAAATCAACGCTTAAAGGAGGAGCTCACCAGCCATGCGACTGCTCTGCTTGGATGACAGGCCCCGCCCCCCTTATTGTTGCTGTTGTGGTACTATGAGCTTATATGCATGATTTTTTTTTTTTTAAATTGCATTGGACATGATAGTGCTTTTCAAATATATTCTGATAACCTTTTCACAAAGAAGATACTTAAGGCCCTGGGGAGACAGCGCAGCTAAGCGGACAAGGGCACATGTAGGAGTGTGGGGATAGATGCATGGGATTGGTTGGGAAGAGTGTGTGGGTGGGATTATGTTCTGTGTAAGTTAGTGTGGGGGAGGTCTTACCTCAGTGCCACCTGGGATTCGGGACAGCAAACAGTTTCCTGTCCTCCAGCTCCTGTTTGCCTGGGCCTGCAGATTTACACGGCTTGAGGTGGTGGATATTGAGGTGATCCGGTCGTCCCTCAGGGCTGCTGCAGCGTGGATGGTGGCCGGCACCTAATGGAGGAATTGACAAGCATTAGTGGAGGTATGGCTGCCGGTGTGGGCACCCCCGTGGCCTACCTCCCAATGGGGCACCCCCTGCGGTCTCCCCTGCTGCCTCCCATGCGGCCCCTGCCCCTGGGGGCCGCACCAGCACTGGCAGGCATTCTCGCCCGCCTGCCAGGCTGTCCCTGGATCCTACTTCCACGCGGCCTACTACTGGGGGGCTGAGATCTGAGGCCTACTGCGGCTGCGCGGATGGCACGGCCTTCAGACATGAGGCCTGTCACTGCCGCGCGGCCTACTACCTCCATCGCCCTGCCTGCTCCTTCCTGGGCCGGCCAGCCTGCTCCTTCCTGGGCCGCCCACTACCTCCAGGCCGGGGATGCGGCCTGCAACTGCCGCGTGGCCTCCTGGTGCGGCAGCCGCGCGGCCTACTCCTCTCCCCCCCTCCACACCATCTGCCAGTGCTGGATTGCGGGCCGGGGGCGGCAGATCCGGTGATCCGGGCGGCAGGTGGCCGCCCGGCAAATGCACAGGTCCCCCGCGGCCGGCGGGGAGGTGAGTGGGCCCTCGCAGGCCACGCGGGGTACCTAGTACCGCCGTGGGGATCTGGGGGGGGTCCCCTTGCCCGTCGGGAGCCTCCTCTGCCAGTGAGGAAGGCTCCCAGGGCTCTGTCTCCCCTCCCTCCCTGTTGGGCTGTCTTTATTTCTTTATCTTCCAGGGGGCCCAGCTTACCCTTGCCTGGGCCCCCTGGTCCCCCCCCCCTATTTCCTGGTTTTCTCTCCCCCACCCCTCTGGTGGGCCTGCACCCCCTCTCCTCCCTCTGCTCCTACTCCCCCCCTCTATCCCTCCTATCTGCATCCCCTCTGTTCCCCCCTCTCTACTTTGCCCCTCTGTTGCCTCTCCCCATCTCTAGCTTGCCTGTCCCCTCCCCCTCTAAGCACACTTTGCCTGAACCCCCCTCTCCCCCTCTACCTTGCCTATCCCCCCCCTCCCTCTCCCCACCTCCCTGCAGGTCACTTACCTGGCCATCTCCTCTGGGGTGGGCTCATCATCTTCTCTGCTGCTTCTTCTCAGCATGCTGCTGCAGTTCATGGATCCGTCCAGCAGGTGGTGCCTGGATCACAGCTGATGTCTTCTGTGGATGCTGGAACTGCTGTTTTCTTTGCCTCAGCCTTCTGTGAGCGCAGTGCCGGGCTTGGATCGCCAGGCTGCAACCGGTGAGTACATTTCCCTTCCTTTAGCGCTTCGCGTGTGTACTGTCTTTCTTCCTTTCTTCCCCAAAAAAACAAAATAACCCCCAGAAAAGTAAGAATTAAAAAAAATAAAATAAATGACTGATACAGACGGAGAAAAAATGTAAATTACCTATTAAATAAAATAAAAAAAGGAATCCAACGTCAAGTACAAGGGGGAGAATTAAATACATATAAAAAAATAAAAAATAAATAGAATATATGGAGAATCCTCGATAAAAGAAAATTTAGGAAGCCCCTTTATGTTTTCAGTAGGTATCATACATTTAGGTACGCTTTCCCACATGCCTCCCAGGTTCACGTGACTCTGGGCTGCTGAGCTCATGTGGCCCGCTTGGCTTGCGCATAACGCTAGGGAGCAGATGGAGAATGGGTTTTACTGAAGGATGTTCCCTCCTGCCACGGGGGTCCCTTGACTAAGGGGGACATTAGGGACTCGGGGAGGGTTGTGGGGAGCATGCTGTGGTCGGATGCACCCCAGGGCGCATATTTGGATGCACCCCGGTTTCTGGATGGCATGGTCGGGGACAGGGCTCCCCGAGTCGGCGCTGCGTGGTTCAGCGGTCAGGACACTCTCGGGACGCATATCGTCCCTGGGATAAGTTGGGTTGGTGGAGGTACGTTTTGCACTTTCGTCAACGGTTGGCAGTGCGACCCTTCTTGGCTTGGGACCGGATGGGTTTTGCTGCTGCTTTTCTTTGGGGCTCACCTGGCCCCTCAGCACAGCGTGTTTTTTGTCCTCTCTGCAATCGGTCGGGTTGGGGGACATGGGTGCTCTCCGTGCAGGGCCCTCAGTTCATGTGGGAGCTTCATCGGGCGATGTGGGTCCAGTTTACCAAGAACGCTTATAAGTTTACTTCCCAGTCGTTTAGGGTACCCCTGGAGTTCGCTGTGGTGCCCAAGGAGGAGGAGCAGGGTCAGTATCTCCAGATTCCTTATTTGCTCAGTTGTCGTTTCCTTCCAGGGGCTAGGTTTGGGATGATGGCTCGGCGCAGCGGGCTTCGTGGGTGGGGCTGCGGGGCCTTGCTGACAAAGGCGGCTGTGGAATCGGTTTTACGGCTGCTGCCGGTATGCCCGTCGGGTTTATTGTTTCCAGGTTGTGTTTCCGACGGTCAGGATTGGGTGGTTATGTGCCTCCACGTGGGTTGCTCCCGATGTCATTTATGTGTGGGGCCATCGGTGCAGCATGTCCGCACTCTGCTGCTGCAGTGTTTTTCCTGGGGTAGTTCTATGAGTTTCGGAGTTCCGTGGCCCAGGCCATATCCGTAGGTTGGGATACGGGCTGTAGTCTCCTGGATAGTGGGATCGATTCCTGCAACGGGACGTCGGTTGCCCCTGACTGCGGTTTGGGACATCGGGCAGTATGCGTCGGTGGTTTTGAGGCAGTGGCGGATCCAGAGCCTGATCTTGGGAGGGGCACTTGTAGATTATTTAAAGAAATAATCCAGACACAATAACCACTACAGCTCAGTGTAGTGGTTATGGTGTCAATAGTGCCGGGACCCCCTGCCACAGTAAGTAGTCAAAACGTTTAAGAACAGTTTGACAACTTACCTGAGATCTGCTGGGAAATGGGGCTGTAGTAGGGCATAGGAGCAGTGGTGTGTGTGAGTGGTGCAATGTGTAAGGGGTGCAGTATGTGTGTGTGTGAGGGGGACAGTGTGTGAGCAGTGTGTGTGTGAAGGTTGTAGTATGTGAGTGAGGGCGGCAGTGTATGTCAGGGATGCAGTGTATGTGTGGGACAGTATGTGTGTAACAGTTGCAGTGAGTGTGAGTATTGCAGTGTATGTGTGAGTGTGGGCAATGTGTGTGTGTAGAGTGTGTGTATGGGGGCAGTGTGTGTATGGGGGCAGTGTGTGTATGGGGAGCAGTGTATAGAGTGTGTGATAAGGGTAGGGGGGGCTTTTTTAGTTTTTATAATATGTATTTATTTTTTATTTAATTAAAATAAATATTCTATGTCCCCCCTCCCTTCTTACCTTTATTGAGGAGGAGGGGGGACATATTTCGTTCCCTGGTGGTCCCAGTGGGGATTCCCTGGTGGTCCAGTGGTTACAGTGAACTCTAGCCCGCGCTCCCGGGCTAGAGTTCACTCTCGCGAGATTTGGAGCGTTGCCATGGTAACCACGGCAACGCTCCAAATCTTGCTAGAGGAGGACCCGGAGGAGCTGCAGGGTCCTCTCTCTCCTCCATCTCCCTCCCCTGCCGGCTGCCAGCAATGTGCCTGCGGATCGGGGAGGGAGATCTCTGATCTCCCCTCCGGTCCGCAGGCACATTGCAGGGCTGGCACCTGCATGTGCTGCTGGCAGGGGAGAGGGAGACCGGCGGATTTCTCGGGGGGGGGCAATTGCCCCGTTGCCCCCCCCCCCGGATCCGCCACTGTTTTGAGGGGCGTTGTGGGTTTAGGCTGCACTACCTTTGGACTCTCCTGGGTTCGCTGGGCTTTGCTTGTCGGGATTGCCCTTTGGACTGTATGGGGTTCCTTCTGGGCCTCCCTTAACTGTGGCTTGTGCAATCTGGACCCCCCCTAAGTCTTTTCCGCTGACTTCCAGCTGTTTGCTGCTGCAGCAGGTTTTGGGCCATTTTGGGCTCTCAATGGTGTGCTGACTCTTGCCCATTACACTGGCAAGCATCGGTTTTCTGGCGGACTCTGGGGTTCTTGGAGCTTCCCCTTTCTGGTGGCATGGTAGGCATGGGGTGCCCGGCTCTAGAACAGGTGGGTGGGTTTTCCTTTGGGACCATCGTGGGGCGGCGCGGGCTGTCTTGTCATGTGACAGTACACTTTACCCCAGTGTTACTCTGGTTGCGGCGCCTGGCTTGGCGCTGTTTGAGCCTAGGGACGGCTGGTCTGGGGTTTTTGTGTCCGGGTATTCCCGATGTGGTGGCCGACGCTCTGTCTTGGTCATTATAGGGCGTACTTCGGGCAGAGGTGTCGCGGGGTCGATGTTAGGGCAGTGGAGGTGGTCGCCTGGTCCAACGGTCTGATAAAGCTGGTCCGTGGGGCGACCTATGAGGCGGCGTGGGGCCTGCTCCAGTATGGTGGGAGTAATTGGGATGGATGGGGACGTTTCCTTGTAGGTTCCAGGAGTGGACCGCTCATCTGCATGTTTGGTTCCATCTGTTGAGGGCGCTGGAGGTGATTTCTGCGATTGGCAGGGCTCGGCTTGCTGTTCATGTTACAGTTGTCGGCAAGTGGTGGGGTGTTTTGGTGGACGGACTTATTTCAGGTTTCGCCACCCTCAACAGGTACTGGGGGGAGTGGGGGGCAAGCGGGGCCACCCAGGTGTTGGGTGGGACCACGGTAGAAGGGGCTTAGGCGGGGGCACGGGGTAAGATAGTGCTGGGGAATCCCTTGGGGCTCCAGCGGAGAAGGAATGTAGATGGCCTTCGTCGGATAGGTTCAGGGTTTCAGGCAAGAAACCACACAAGAGCAGGGTAGGTAGGCTTTTCAGGCGCTGGGAAGCGGGGAAGGGAGGGGCAGATCCCGGGATAGGATAGGGGCAGCTCTCGGGGATACCGATGTAGTCCAGTCAGGGCGGTTTTAAGGGCGGAATGGTTGTAATTACGGTTTAGTTGCCAGTTTCACGTTACAAAATTAGGGCGCAATACACTTTTTCTAGGTGCCACGACACGTATTAGGATGAGCGGTAGTCAGGTAATCTAGAAAGTCAGCGTTGCAGGGAAGGTTGTGGCCTATGGGACCTCATCTCATCCGGGCGTGGCACGCGAGTGGGATGACGACACATATACCCCAACGAGGTCTGGCGGTAGATAAGACCAGACGACATGTTATCTTTTTTGGGTGCGAATTCTCCGTACCTCTTATCTTCTTTTCTTCTACTCTATTTCTCTTCTGGAGTCCTGGGCGGGTGGGCCAGGGGGTGGAGGGGGCGTGGTGGGGGGGGCATGCTGGAGCGGGCGCTGGGTGGGACAAATGGCACTTAAGCTAATCTCGTTGAACGCTCGGGGCTTGAATGCCCCTCAAAAGCGGCGCATGCTGTATAGGGAAATGAAGCGGACAGGGGCGGACATTGCCTTTGTCCAGGAGACACATCTTCCAAAACCAGTGCAGCTGAGACTTAAGGACCATGTTTACACGGGCTCGTAAGAGTCCCGAGCGGGCAGGAAACGGTGTGGGGTGGCCATATTGATCAGGAGGAGCTGCCCCTTACGGGCAGATTCAACTGACATGGACGCTGAGGGACGCTACGTAAAAGTGACAGGGACCCTTTACTCCCACAACATTAACTTGATAAATGTATACGCCCCTAACCACCCGGACCCGGGGTTCTGGAGCACACTGTGGGGGGGGACTTCAATGCCACATCGAGCCCGGCAATTGACAGGAGTTAGGTTGGGGGGGTGCCTAGGTCACAGGGACGAGAGAGACAGGACAAAATGTTCTCTACTTTCGTAAAAAAACACGGGCCTGATAGATGCCTGGAGGGCGCAGCACCCGGGGGACTCAGAATATACCTTTTATTCCGCGCCACACTCGCGACTTATTCACGGATAGATATGTTTCTAACCAATGCCTCGGGGTTTGCGAGAGTCACAGCCACATCGGTGGGGCCTATAACGTGGTCGGATCATGCGGCAGTATCACTTACTTTGGGGAACCTGTGCGGGGCCTCTCCTTGGTCATGGAAACTCAATGCATCGCTATTGAGAGACCCGGACCTGGTGGCGCAGGTACATCAAGAGATCAGGGCGTATTTTGAGACCAATTCCACTCCCGATATCTCAGCGAGCGTCATATGGGCGGCGCATAAAGCAGTGATTAGAGGGGTTCTCATTAAGTTGGCCACGAAAAAGAAAAAACAAAAGAACCTTAAGCAGTTAGAGCATATACACCAAACGCGCCCTACTCAGGATACTCTGAGGGAGGTGGAGTGGGGGAGACGGGCAGTGCGACAATTACTCTTAGATGACGCAGCTAGGGCTTTGACGTGGACCAGACGAACCTTCTATGAGAAGGGGAATAAAATGGACACATTGCTAGCCAGGACCCTGAAACCCCGACTGCAGCGCACTCATATCACGACAATTCGCCATCATGACGGGTCCCTTAAGACAGAGCCCCGAGACATTGCGGCGGTTTTCACGGAATATTACCAGACATTATACGATCACTCCCCCGGGGACAGAAGGGAGAGTACTAGTGGGGAGGAGCGCGTACAACGGCTCTTGGGAGGCATACACTTACCGAAGCTACCGCGGGAGGCAGCGGAGAGCCTCACGGCTGAAATCACGGAGGGCGAAATAGATAAGGCGATCTCCAGATTAAAAGGAAATAAGGCCCCGGGCCCCGACGGTTTTGACGGGGCATACTATAAAACCTTTCGGGAGGCCCTAACCCCCCACCTACATACACTATTCAACGATTTTCGCGTAGAGGGAACACCGACCCCGGATATGTCGTTGGCCACAATAGTCTTATTGCCCAAACCTGACAAGGACCCCCTGCTACCAGGCAGCTACAGGCCCATTTCATTAATTAACCATGACATGAAGATCCTTGCCAAAATCCAGGCGGATAGACTCGCCCGCTTCCTTACTCATCTCATTGATGCGGACCAGGTAGGGTTTGTGGCGGGTAGAAAACTATTCGAGAACACACACCGCAATATTAGCCTCATTTGGAAGCAAGCTATCACTAAGACTCCGACACTGATTGTCTCTATAGATGCCGAAAAGGCTTTCGATCGGGTGAAATGGCCATATCTGTTCTCCCTGCTTTCCCAACTAGGATTCCCCGACCCGTACATTAGAGTGGTGAAGGCTATGTACAGCAATGTGAGAGCGCAGGTGCAGATCACGGGCGCGTCCCCTGTACCCTTTTGCCTGCACAATGGCACTAGACAGGGTTGTCCCCTGTCCCCATTGTTGTTTGTCATGGCTCTGGAGCCGTTGTTGCAGGCAAACCGGCAGGACCCCAACATACAGGGGGTCAAAGTGGGGGGGAGAGAGTTTGTGGCGGCTGCATATGCAGACGACGTTCTCTTGACGCTGACAGACCCGGAGGGGTCAATGGCGGCCTTAGGGGAGAAGTTGCGGGAGTATGGGGAAATCTCGGGCTATCGGGCCAATATGGCCAAATCCAGTGCTCTCCCTATCTACATGACTCAAACTGAGAGAGAAAACATACACCGCACCTACAAAATCCGGATGGAGCTAGAGGCGCTTAAATATCTGGGGATAAGCCTCACGGCGGACCTGGGTGCCTTGTACGCCCATAACTTTACGCCCTTGTGGAGAACCATAACCAAAGATTTAGAAACGTGGCTAGACAAGCCCATATCGTGGATAGGCCGGATCCATGTCATAAAAATGAATGTCCTCCCTCGGATATTGTTTATGTTCCAGGCACTACCCATACACTTGTCGAAGGCCCAATTAGCACCAATCCAACAGGCTATAGGTCGCTTTATTTGGCAAAACAAAAGGCCACGGGTCTCGAGATACGTCCTGTATCGCTCTAAACGGAGAGGGGGCCTAGGTCTCCCGAACTTATTTTTCTACTACCTGGCGGCCCAAATGTCGCAGGTGGCGCTCTGGCATTCACCACTCGACGAGCGGAAATGGGTGGAAATCGAGACGCTCATGTCGGGGACAGACCTACCCCAATTTGTCATGTGGACTCCAAGGGAGAATAGACTCCTAACCAGGGCAGCATGCCCTGCAGTGGCGAATTCCCTCGGGCTGTGGGACAATTACGGGACGAAATATGGGTTGGCATCCTTCCCGTCTCCCCTGGCGCCCATCTTGCGTAACAAAGCTTTTTATCCGGGCATAGAAGCGCAAAATTTTTGAAATTTAGAAAGAGCGGGCCTACAGAGGCTCCACCATTTATATCGAGGCACCGAAATGGTTCCATTTGATGAGCTTAGACAGGGTAGACATCTGACACCGACAGATTTTTTCCGCTATATACAGATTAGAGACTTTGCAGCCCAACCACACATAAAGGACGCAGCGATAAAACCCCTGACCTTTTTTGAGCGTATGTGCACCTCCGAAAACATACCCAGACGACTGATCTCAACACTGTATATGCACTTCTGCACGGAGTCCGGGGACATGGGGGGCTTAGCATATACCAAGAGATGGGAGAAGGACTTGGGAGAAGAGCTAGAGGGGGTAGAATGGCAGGAGATATGGGAGGCGAACAACACCTCCTCCATTTGCGTGTGGCACCAGGAGCAGGCATTTAAAACAATGTTTCGCTGGTACTCCACCCCTGTAACCCTGTACAAAATGCATAAAACTAAGTCGGATTTGTGTTGGAGGGGCTGCGGGGCTGCGGGGAACGTATTACCACATGTGGTGGGAATGCCCCAGAGTAGGGCAGTTTTGGGCGGAAGTGCATAACCTGGTGTGACAAGTGTTCTCCAGGGCACCCACGTTGGATCCATGGGTATACCTCCTTAGCAGATCGGTCGAGGGGTGGACGCGAAAGGAGCAACGGCTGCTACATAAGATCACGCTAGCGGCGAGACAGGCTATGGCCTTCAGGTGGCTACAGCAGGAGCTACCGCAGATTATGGATGTGATAGATAGGATTAAAGACATGCGGGTGATGGATGATTTTACGGCTAGGGTCAGGGGCACCTCTAGGACCTTTCAACGGGTGTGGGAGCCGTGGGATGGGTCCCGGTGGGGAGATGGTGGGGGGAAGGGCGTGACCTAGGACATGGACTGAGGTGGACGTGGGGTGGGTGCCGGGGAGGAGGGAGGGGCAGTTTTTTTTGGCACAACGGGACTCCTGCTCCCCAGCCTCTCCCCCCCCGCCCCTCGGCCTCCCGGGCTGGTGCCCGGGGCCGCCTAAGGACTCCTCTCTCTTTCCTATTCTGTTTTCTCTTTCTTCTTGTTTCTTTAATCCCCTCTCGGGGGATTTAGCCTAGTAGAGAGTGCCAGCAGTATACTTAAGATGCACCAGACGGAGGCGAGATGGGGTGTGCAGCGGGAGGGGGCTGAAACTAGCGGTCAGGAGGGTAGACAGGCAGCAGACAGCAGCAGCCCGATAGCCTTACACTTGAGGGTTTGACACTACAATGGCGGTGCGAAGGATGGACGAGAGGGCACACATAACAGTGGATATAAAAACTAGGCTTACATATATATGAAAAACCGTGACGGGCGCTGACATATCGCTTCTGAGCAACCCCACCTCTGGGTACAACCACGGGGGGGAAAGAGCTTAGCCTACACCGTTGTATAGGGGCTTCTGCGCAAGCCAAAATGCATTTTCTATGTCACTGTTCTTGTCATGCAAAAATAAAGAATTTAAAAAAAAAAAGAAAGATGGTGGGGAGTTCAAGGGGCATTTATTCTGGTTTGGGACGGCTACGGTCACCGCCAGGCTTGGCGTGCCTGCACCAATGGTTCAGGGGGCTCGAATGGTGGGAGTCAGGGTGTTGAGTTCCTTCAGGTTCACCCTGCTGGTCTCCGAATGGATTTCTCACCGCGGTTACGCCCCCCCCCCCCGGAAAGGGGATGGTGGAATGCTCGTGTGTAATTTGGGCCAGGAGGCAGGGGCGAATGGTTGGATCTTACGCCTTCGGGAGCGGAGGTTCAGTGGTCTGGCACCAGTTACATGGAGGGGGTGTGGTCCTCCTCGTACGGGGTCAGCTGTCCCGCCTCATGGAGGTACCAGGGGTTTTTGTCATCTCTGGGTGGAATGACATGGGTTCGGTGTTGTATTTGGTGCTCTTCAATCTGGACATGTTGCGCATTCTGTTTTTCTTCCCATAGGTTCTCAGGGGCTAGGCTGAGGCGATCGCCCGTTCCTGTCGGCAGTGCGCTCAGCAATGTGAGTGCATTGGTGCGATGCCGTAAAATTCTGACGAGATGGGTTTCTGGGTTCGTCTTGGGGGATTACAGTTCGCCTTAGGGTTTGGCCGGATGCGGCCTAGTTATCTCGAGGGGATGGGTGCGCTTGCTGGAGGTCGGAATAGGCCTATGTTAATCTAGCGCTGCAAGAAGTGGTGGAACAGGCCATGGCTGGTTATGGTGGGGTCCCCCGCTGATTTTAGGTGTAAAACAGCGGGATTGTGGCAGGGGTATGTCCTTGCCAATTGAGTTTTAGTGGTTACGTTTAAGTATATGGAATGAGATGAACAAGTTTTTTTAGGTCTCAACCTCCCCTGCTTCAAAAGGTTAAACATTAGGTTGCCTGAGCTGTCGTGCCCATCGAGCGTGGATAAGGCCGGCTGATGGCGGGCATTGGAAATATATGATTTTTATGACGAGGGGGGAGGTGAGACGAAGTGGTGATTAGGTACCACTGTATGTTTATTGGCAAGGACGGTTGGGTCACTGTATAACACTATGAGTGGAGTTATATATGTATATATGTTAATTTATGCTTATTTATGTCTAACGTTTTGGTTACAGAAAGAAGAGATTTAATAAACAAAGTTATGGATGTGTCATGCAGTAATTTAGTTTGTGATAATAAATGCTGTGGTCTGTCGTTATTGGGGGGGGTAAATGGGTTTAGATTTGTGCTAGGCTGCATCGCGATTCCCCACTACGTACATACAAGGCCCTGGGGAGATAGCACAGCTAAGCGGACAAGGGCACATGTAGGAGTGTGGGGATAGATGCATGGGATTGGTTGGGAAGAGTGTGTGGGTGGGATTATGTTCTGTGTAAGTTAGTGTGGGGGAGGTCTTACCTCAGTGCCACTTGGGATTCGGGCCAGCAAACAGTTTCCCTCCCGCCCGCCCTATTGGTATATTTCGTCACAGCTAGCCGGGGGTATGTCCTTGCCAATTGAGTTTTAGTGGTTACGTTTAAGTATATGGAATGAGATGAACAAGTTTTTTTAGGTCTCAACCTCCCCTGCTTCAAAAGGTTAAACATTAGGTTGCCTGAGGTGTCGTGCCCATCGAGCGTGGATAAGGTCGGCTGATGGCGGGCATTGGAAATATATGATTTTTATGACGAGGGGGGAGGTGAGAGGAAGTGGTGATTAGGAACCACTGTATGTTTATTGGCAAGGACGGTTGGGTCACTGTATAACACTATGGGTGGAGTTATATATGTATATATGTTAATTTATGCTTATTTATGTCTAACATTTTGGTTACAGAAAGAAGAGATTTAATAAAAAAAGTTATGACTGTGTTATGCAGTAATTTAGTTTGTGATAATAAATGCTGTGGTCTGTTCATCCATACTAAGTGGTCTGTCGTTATTGGGGGGGGTAAATGGGTTTAGATTTGTGCTAGGTTGCATCGCGATTCCCCACTACGTACATACATGGTAAATGTTCCAAATGGCTGTAATTTGTAAATGAAAGGGGTGCTTCCACAGAGTTTTTTTTACATTTTAGACAAGAAGAGAACTTGAGCGCTCTTCCAGATTTATAGCTTTGCTGGAGTGCAGGAGTAAGTGTTAATGCTTCCATGAACTCTGTTAACTTTTACAGAGAAGAGAGTAAACAAAAATAGAATGCTACCTGATACTGTTTATATAAAACAAAAGACAGGTGCAGCAGAAGAAAGAACATGTTTTGCATCCTTTGTAATGACAGATGAACAGTGTAAATATTTAAATGTTTTATCTTTTTTATAGAGAATTAGGAAGGAGACAGAAGACAAAAAGAAATGTTAATTTGAATGTCCAACAAGTTCACCGTTAGAGGAAGGGGAAGAGGCGAGAGAAGACTGTCTAAATTTCAGCAAATGTTTACAATAGAGAGTGGAATAGACAATGGAACATTCAGAATTTACTACTATTTAATAATATTTTTTCAGTGCTAATTTGTTGGGCTACCTCAGGCAGATCCATAACGGCAGATCTAACTTAGAATGGCTGGACTTGACAATTACATATAAGATGTAAGTTAAATAACAAAACTGAGAAAGGCTGAGGATTCCAGAAGACAGGTAAGTCAACGAAGTCAGTCAAGGTCAGTACAGGCAGTAATCTAATCTGTACGGTAAACAAAGCTATGATAACATAGAAGAGGAACAAGACAAAGTTAAAATGAGCAAAAACTGGAGGGTTAGGCCTCATAAAATCTGAGAACTGGTGTGTGGTATGACGCAAAAAAGACACAACATTCAGTATCAAACTAAGTCAATGGTTACGAGTGGCACTTACATCAATTAAAGACGAGTTATGAAACATCCACCATCCAACGTCAGCATAATAATGAACATATACTGAACGTTATTTCAAGCACATGTTTAAATTTTACCATGTTGTACTTTGCTGCTTGGCTAGAGTGGTTTTAATCATGCATGTACCCTATTCTAGTATCAATAATCCGTAATAATAACTCTCTTACCCTTTTAACTCATAGCCCTAAATACTAACTGAAAACACGTGGACAAATTTTTTTATTTAAGATGAAAAAAATAGTTTGTATCCATTATCCCACTAGATGGCACTACTGGCAAAAATAGAAAGTTTACTTGTCTTATCAGTTTTTATTTTACAAAGGTTGTATTAAAGATGGCATTGGAATGCACAGGAGTCAAGTGAGGTAACATTGCACCAGTTCAAAAGAATGAACATTTCAATGACATTTTGAATTTTAACATTTTAGAAACACCTTAGATGATAATATTATAATTCCTCATAACCTACTTTTCAACCTAGTTGTTTAAATCATTTTTCAGAAAACTTAGTAAGTTAATTATTAGCATGAACCTGATGTGAGCCGTAATTTACAAAAATATATAACCTCTCACATGCCTGTGGGCAACATCTCAAATAGGGGTGCTTTAGGGCACAAATTAATTAAATAAAAGCATCTAACCTAGGGAAAATGTCAAGGTGGAGATACAACAAGGGAAGGGAGGCAGATAGGACTTCTGGGAGTCAGAGTGTTTTAGGGAAGGAAGTGGGAGGAAGGTAGTAATCATGTCCAGGGAGAGGTTATTGAATGTTATGGATAGGAAAGTCAGTGTACAGGGAGTGGAAGAAGTCTGATTCTAGAAATTTGTGTCACTAGGACCAAGAAGAAGAAGTCTGTTGTGTTCTGTCCTAGAAGTGTAATAAATCCTCCTTTGCCCTGGTCCCTGGATATCCATTTGCATGGGGGGAAGTATATGTATATTGTAGCAGTATCAATGCCCTTTGTGCACTGATCTGGGTCTGTTGGTGGACCACAATGGACCACAATGTGTGCAAGGTGCTCAGCTTTGTAATATAAGAAGAATCCACCTTGGTGTCTGGGATTGGTCTGAAGAGAGAAAGAAAGGTATGGTTTATGATGGGACCAGGGCCGACCTTAGGCCTTTAGGCGCCCTGTGCGAAAAATCTTCACAGCGCAAACCCCAAAATAGGAGTGTAGTGATTGTATAGGGGATTTATTAAATTAATAATAATTTAAAAACAAATATTAATTCCTCCCTTCCTGTTGTTACCTAGTTGGGAGAGGGGCATGCTGATCTGAATCTGGTCTGCCTCTCCAGTGGGTACAGACCATGCGTAACTGTCTTGCAAGTTCAGGGACTTGCAGTGTCCTCTGGTAATCTGCAGCAGTGCTCTGATTATCCCGAGCTAGAAAGACAGCTGCTTATGGTCTGCAGCCAACAGAAGTGCAGGCCAGAAGTGCCAGAAAGTCTCCCCTACATTACAGAGGAGCAGACTAAGTACGTCACATAATACTGAATGGTTTTGCTCTGGAGCTCTGGATTATACTTATTTACCTTGACCTCTTTGGAATACAAATTTGTAGTAATGCGCTGCATCTCCATTTATCACAGAGCTCCACAACAATAAAACTCCCAGTAATGTGGAGCGCTGTAACAAGATCATACACTACACATGAATACAACTCTAAGTAATGTGTCTATTAGTCTATCACCAAGCTCCCCACTATTAAAAAAACAGAGCTCCACTGTAGTACATCTCACTATAATATGATGTAATTTTTGTGTTGTCTGTGTATCTGTGGACATACAGTTTTACACAAACACACACACACGCAGACAGCCACACACATACAGAGAGCCACACACAAAGGCAGTCATACACAGACAGCCACACACATAAACACACAGGAAGACATCCACACACACACAGAGTCACAGAGGCAGGCAGGCAGACAGCCACACACACAGAGGCAGAAAGTCTCACACACACACACACAGGCAGACAATCGCACATAGTTACCTCTGTTCATTATGGAGGAGTGGAGGCAGTGCAGCTCCTGGAGACTCATTGTTGGGCAAGCAGTTACCTGGCACTTTAAGCTCCGCCCCTGCCGTCAGTTTAGCTCCGCCTTCCGTCGCACAGGAAACTCTGCCCCCGCCAGCAATAGTGTTTTGTTTATTTTTTTTTATAATCCGGGCATGTGTGAGCTGTGTCAGCCGCATGACACCCCCTGCTCCCATGGCACCCTGTGCGGCCGCATAGCTCGCACACCCCCTAAGGTCGACCCTGGATGAGACTAAGACAAACCAGAAGAAAAGCTTCCACATATTTCAAAATAACTTTTTAGTAACAGTAAAGGATAACACTTATGACATGTACAGATGTTTAGATAAAATATCCATGTTTGGAACATAGACACTAGACATAGTTTTCAATAAGGTGTAGTTGTTGGCCTATAAAAGAGCAGAGGGAGCTAAGGAAAAATCATTGTCAATATCCATAAGGGACAGGGAACTTTATCTTTCAGATATTCTCTTCACTGACATGTTTAGAATTTTGTATTAGCAAGGGTTTATTTTAAACTTAAATAGGTAGAAACCTAATTTGCTCAATATAGGGGAGTGAATTATTATGCATTTTTCAATAATTGCAAATTGCACAGATAAATAATGTCACTGACACTGTATTGTTTTAAATCTGCTTTTTTTTTTTTCCC